CAGACAAGAAAATGTTCTTAAAATGCTTTGCAAACACCAGTTACCACCATCATTTAGTCCTGTCTTCTCATGTTACTTAATAGAAACTGAGGCCAAGAGAGCCGGTGACTTGTCCAGGGTCACAGAGTCAAGCGTCAGAGCCCTTTCTCCTGCCCCATTGGTTGGGGTGAACCAGAGGTCTTACCTCTTTAGCTTGAGTGCCCAAGCCTTCAGGAGGTTCTCCCCTTTGGGTTTAGGCTGCCCCCAGGGTCAGAGCTCAAACAGCCTCAGGATCTGTGTCATGATAATGATGGACACATAATAACACGGTTAGAACTGGACAAATCCACTAGGAAGGGGAGTGGGGGTCAGTTTAGTGTAGATGTGCACGCAGAAGCCAAAGAGCTTCTGTGTAGCTGTGGCTTTTAAAACTATACACCAAGAACAACGGAGACAAAGAAGGGAAGGAAAAGAGAGGCTTAGGGAGAGGAGTATATGTAAGTGATTGATGATGATAGAACTACTAGCAAAAACAGACAGAAGAACTATGACCGCGCACCATTCTGCAGCTCCACATCCCTAGCCCCTAAAACCCTGGCTAGGGCCTACGCTCATCTTTGACCTCTTTTCCATTCATGCCTTATCTTCAACGTAATGCTAACATTTACCGATTGCCGTGCACCATCTAGTGGCGACAGAGGGATAATCTCAGGCTAGTAAGGTTGATACTTTTCAACCAGACTTCTGGGAAACTTCCCAGTCCAACAAGCATTTGCTAAGGACCTACTATGTGCTGGGCACTGCTAGATGTTGGATTCCAAAGACAAAATAAAAGAATAGTGTCTGTTCTCCGCCCTCCTCCCCATTAGAATGTAAGGGCCTTGAGGACAGGGACCGTTTAGTTTAAATTTTTAGAATCCCAGCATCTAACATCATGTCTGAATTTATTACAAGCATTTATTAATGTGCCAGGCATGGGGATGCAAAGGCGAAAATAAATAAATAATCCCTACTCTCAAGGAAATTAATTTTAACAGGGAGATATGTGCCTACTTAGATAAATATAACATAAATAATTTATAAAAAGAATAAATACAATGCAAGGGATTTACTAGCAACTGGTGATCAGGAAAGGCTATAGAAGGGGATGATTGAGTAACTTGAGTCTTGAAGGAGGTAAAGAGGGAGTGAGTTCCAGGCATGGAGGCAAAAATATGGAGGCAGGAGATGAAGGTCCCTGTGTGAGGAACCCGGAAAAGGCACTGGATGAAGTAAAGAGAGTGATGTTGAAAGAGCCTGAAAAGATAGGATGGGGTCAGGTCGTGAAGGGCTTTAAAAGCTAAACAGAGCTTAGTTTCTTCATCTGTCAAATGAGAGGGTTGAACTTAATGGCCTCTACGGTCCTTTTCAGATCTAAATCTATAACTCTGAGTTTATCTTTGGAATAATAGGGAGCCACTGATGTTTACTGAGTGGGAGAGTAACACAATCAGAGCTGTGAATATGGAGAATCACTTGACAGCTATGTGAATGGACTGGAGAAGGAAGAGATTTGAGTCAGGGAGATCAATTAGGAGGCCACTGGAATTGTCCAGTCAGGAAGGACATGATGAGGACCTAAACTAAGGTGGGGGCTGTGTCAGTGGAGAGAAGGGGTCAGATGTCAGAAATGTAGTGGGACAACATGGCCAAAGTAGAAATGTTTTACATGACTTCCTATTTATAATAGGCAGCGTATTTCTTGCCTTCTAAATCAGTGAGAGAGAATTCAGAACTGAAAATAAAGTTAAAAAAAATTTTTAAAGTCAATTTCAATTGCTAAAAAAAATGTAGCGGTGGAAATGACAAGATTGGGCAACTATTTGGATAGGCAGTGTTTAATAAATGCTTGATCAAAAAAGATAATAATTGTAAAGTGTTCAGCACAGTGCTTGGCACATAGTAAGTGCTATATATATGTTGTTATTATTAAACTGTGTATGTCCTTTGATACCACTACCTTGCCTCCAAAGAGATGAAAGAGGAAAAGGTCCATTCCTCTACAAAAGTACTTATTTATATTATTCATTTTAATAATATATTTAATTATATATTATTGTGTATCATAGGTCATAATTAATCATTAATGTTTAATAATAATATATTTTATTTGTATTTTTATTATATATAATTATATTAATATATATTTACATTATTTGTATTTTATTTATATTATACTAATATATATTATATTATTTGTGGTGGCAAAGAACTGGAAACCAAGGAGGTGTCAATCAATTGGGGAATGATGAAACTAGTTATGTCACACAAACGTGATGGAACACTATCGTGCTGTAAGAAAGGAAGAGGTTTCAGAGAGACCTACAAAGACCTGTATGAACTGATGCAGAGGGAAATTAGCAGTATCAAGAGAGCCTTTTACTACAGCAGTGCTGCAAAAACAAACAAGTTGAAAAGACTTAAGAACTTTGATCAACATTAGGGAAGGAGTCAGGAGATAGGGAGAGACTGAAGATTAAAGAGATGAGAAAATCAAAGGGGCAACCTTCCAGGTAAGAGACCAAGATGGCAGAATCAAGGGCAAACTCTCTTCCATAATTTAACTAACTCTAATTAGTTAGGTCTACACAGACTGATCATAAACCCACTTTAATTTCAGGAGATGCCATAGCAAAAAAAATTCATCCTCCTGGTCCATCCAGTGATGAGCCTGTCCAAATTAACCTAGATTGGTCTTTGGTTACCTTCTGGCATTAAGCCTGTTTGCACTTGACTCAAAACTGGGGGGCAGTTAGGTGGCACAGTGGATAGAGCACCGGCCCTGGAGTCAGGAGGACCCGAGTTCAAATCCGGTCTCAAACCAGACACGACTCTTACTAGCTGTGTGACCCTGGGCAAGTCACTTAACCCCAATTGCCTCGCAAAAAAAAAAAAAAAAAAGACCAGAACTGGGCATTAGCCACATAGTCCAACACTAGGTTTTGGCTTGACAGAGCAGTCCAGAACTTGTGCTCACCCTCATTGCCTTCAAGCTTCTAGGGCTACCCTTCCAACACCATGAGGCGTTGGATACTAGGACTTGAGCAGAGGCCTAGGAAACTCATCCAAAGAAGGCAATTCTAAGAGCCCCAGGTCCCCCAATCCTGCTTCCCAAAGGCCCTTCCAAATCCTAACGAGGCAGCAAAATAATGTGTATACTTGGAGATTCTATAGCTGGATTACATTTATTTACAGACAGCACAACTAATTCAACTTAGCTGGAAAGACTCTGGCTTGTTAGCCAGAAGCAATTCACGATTATTTTACCATTCTTGGGGGAGTTCAAACTGATGCTAAAATTAAGATTTAAAGATCACACCAGAGTTCCAGGAAAGGGTGTTCAATGACCCTGAATTTTATCAAGGAAGCAGAAAGCGGGGAGAGGTGCGCTTGCCACACAATGGCAGGACCTCAGTCCCGGACATTCAGGATACAGCCCAGGTCACAGGGGGATTCCCTAGAGATGGTGAGGTCCTTCAGGGGCTCCTCTTGGTGATATTGAGCTGACTGCATCAAGTATAACAACTGGCATTTATGTAACGCTTTAAGGTTTACAAAACCTTACATATATAATATTATATATCTCCTTTGTTCCTCACAATAACCCTGTAAGGTATGTGACATCGTTTCCACTTTACAGATGAGGAAACTGAGGCCGAGAGAAGCTAAATGACTCGCCCAGGGTCACCCAGCTAGTAAATTTAAACTCAGGTCCAGCTGTCTATCCACTGTTCCTCCTATCTGCTCTAACAACATGACTGAGCCTCCTAAACCAGGTCTGCTCTAGAGCTCAACCTAACCATCCATAGATTAAAACAAGTGGATGGACACCGTCATCCAAGCTACCACAAAGGCTGGTCTGTCAATTCCTCTGCCTATGACAGTGCCCACAGATGGAAAATAAACGGGGCCCAGCATTGGAGAGCGGGCTGGATTACGCACTCACAAAAGCATCCAGGGCTTTCAACTTCAAACTAAAGTCCAGCTTTTAACATCTTCCAGTGAAGAATATTGTATTACGTATGGCTAAAACACACAGAACATGGGTCTCTGAAGAATTGGGTCACCCAGGGGGCAACAAGGCCACGAGGGACACGAGTAGGCTTCAGCATATTGCCAGCAAAGACCCATGCAGAGCTGGTGTGAGGGCGACGTAAGCTGGGCAGGGACAGGTGCGGACACTGTCCCATTCCCCTCAAGAGATCCAGAGAAGGCCCCTAGCATGGCGGGGGGACCTCACTGCCAGTACAAGGTATAGATGGGTTGCTATCTGCACCACTGGCAAGAATGCTCACACGTGAGTGCAGAGACCTATCTGAATCTTTGGTGTATGTGTGACAGTAATATTTACACCCATTTTACTGTCTTGACTACTTACTAAATGAGCCATTTTATCTGCTTTTCTAACATCTTTGCTCCCAAATCTGCTTCCTAAGCTTCCCTGACGGTATTCCTCAGCATGGGTAACCTGTACCCTGTGTACAAAGGCAGGAAAAGCTGGTGCAGGAAGTTGAACATGTGTCCAACTTAACTGTTTTACACAGTAAGTTGTAGACTTTCTCCCACAATTAAAATAAATGTGTGAAAGGTACAAGCTTTCCTTTCCAGACACTCAAAGGCTGGGTGAGGGACTGACTGGAGGGGAACTGGAACCCAAGAGCCCGTCTCATCTTTGTCTACGCATGGCAAAGCACGTTGTCCCCCTAAGGAGGAGGAATATAGTTCCTGATGGTGAACACCTCCACAACCCCGCTTATCAGTCTCCAAAGTGAAGAAAACTCTGCCCACTGTTAGCTTATCGGGCCCGAGAAATGCTACTCTGTAGCAGCGCTTGGAGATCCTGTCTCTGTTCATGGGTGCCACAAGTCTGGGTTCAAGGCCAGGGAACGAGAAGGGGGGCCAGGCTAGGGGAGGTGGGTAATGTTTCTCCTCTGCTTCTCTCACTGGCCTGCTGTGGACACTCATGGACACTCAACGCTGGCTCAATCCCAACACAGTTTATTTTCACATGATTCAGGTCCCCCAGAGCAGGGGTAGTCACAGATCACACTGCCCCCCTCTGAAGGAAGAAGGGATCCAGCCCCAGGCATAGGGGTGGGGTAAGGGAGGAAGAGAAGCAGCTCAGATCTTCCCAGGGAAGGTGTCTTCCGCTCTGCGATCATCCCAAGTATTCACCTACAGAAGACAGAAAAACACCAAGCTGCTGCAGGCTGACTTTCTCCCTCTTCCCCAGGCCTGATCCTATCTATTACGTGTGACCCACACTCCTTTTCGCAGCACTCCCACCCCAAAGGTGATTCCTTCCATCTTACAGAAGACAGAAAGATCCAGGGGAAGGAGGGGCAGGGATTTTCTCAGGGTCACACAGAGCATCGAGGCTAGTACCCAGGCCTCCTGGCTTTAGGACACAATTAGGTGCTTGAAAGCTGGAGGGTCATCCTCACATCCCTGGTTAGGAGAGTCACTAAAGGCAGGCAGGCATAGATGGAAGGACAGACCCAGTACAGTGCCCCTTCCCCCACCCCACCCCACCCCAAACCTCCCATGGCCACATACCCAGGACAGGGGACAGAGGGACTTGTAGACACGTTTGTACCACTGGCAGACAGACACATCACCACCTCTCTCGTTCATGGCCTTCTCACAACGGTGAAAATCTAGGAGGTAAAGTAAAAGGGGCTTAGTAGCTGACCTGGAGGGGCCAGGAGAAGCCCCTGGAGTCTGCGAGAATGAAGCTTTATCTTAGAATCTGAGATTCCAAGAGGGGACCAGATCCCTGGGAATCAGTTCAATTTAACAAGTATATATTACCTACTGTGCCAGGCACTGTGCTAGGGACATTGAATGGAAGTGGAGAAGTAGTTGAGGGGTTGGGGAGGAAGGAGTCTTAGCCTTTTCTGTATCATGCAGAATCTTGTGGACCCCTTCTCAAAATAATGTTTTAGATGCACAGAAATAAAATGCATCGGATTACAAAGAAAACTAATTATACTGAATACTAAATTATACTGAAATACAGTTTGTATTGTATTATTTGCATTTGTATTGAATTTGCTGTATAGTTGGGGAAAAAAAAGAAACTCCCAAGTTCAGAACTCATGTTGGGAGAGCTGGGGGCATGTGTTGGGCGGGACTTGGGAAGGAGGCGCACCCAGGTAGTTTTGCCAGCAGTTACGGGTCTGGTTCTGGTTGGGGAAGCGGCTGTCAAAGGGTGCCGTGCGGTAGTTTTGGATCTTGGCTTTGATGTCTTCAGACATGGTGGCTCCTGGACTGGAGAGACAGCAGAGTGTCAATCACAGGCCCCCAAGCCCAAGAGAATGCCTCTCTCCCACCCCACTAGGGTCTATCCCAGCAGGCCAAGAGGCAGCAGAGAAAAATGTGAATCCTGGGCCAAGGCCCACTCTGTGCTATGGGTAGGATATACTGGGCTGTGGACGGCTGGGCTACTGTCCAATATACCCAGGCACAGAATGGTGGGGGGACAGGGGACAAGGGAATCTGGGAGAGAGGGTGGGGGGCAGGGTCCTGATGTGTGGAGAAGGCGAGGCACACGGCATATAAATGAGTGGAGAGGGGGGGCTATGCAGCAATATGAATGAAGGGATGCACTTACATAGGCAGGTGTAGAGAGTGGGGTGTTCTATATGAATAAGTTACATAGGTGGGATTGCATGGTATATCCAGGGGTAAATGGGCAGAAGCAGAGACTAGAGGAGCTGAGGCCTATGTGGGGGGAAGGGTCTGTGTGGAGGGGATGGGCAGCATACAGGCGAGTGTAAAAGGTGGGGTATTTGATATACGGGAGTACGAAGGTTGTGGTACATGATGGGGTGTAGCACACAGGCAAGTGAAAAAACAGGGAAAAGATACATATGGGGGTGCACAGTATACAGGCCAGTGTAGAAGGTGGGGTGTGTGTATTTCTGTATCTTTATCTATACAGATGTATAGGACAGTGCAGCATTCAGGGGAGTATAGAAGGCGGGGTGTAGGGTATATATGAGGGACATGTATCAGACAGATGAGAAGGAGCCGTACAGGTATCTATTAGGGAACATAGCATAAAGGTGAGTATAAGAGGGGTGGTGTGCACTATCTATGGAGGTATAGAAATAGACAGGGAATATGGCATATTCGTGGGTGCACAGCATATAGGCAAGTGTAAAAGGCTGGGTATGAGGTATATATAAGGCGGCAAGGCCTGACTGCAATATATGGGAGGGGCTGCGCAGTATACTGCAGAATAGGGTGCGGGTTGTCTACAGGGGTGCACAGCACTGAGGCCGGTGCCGA